CTTTCAGCTATAATCAACATTGAGGCATTCAAGAGGAAAATCTAAAATGGTCGGCATAATTTCATCTTGGTTTTCCCCTTCAAAATAAACAGAGAAGTGTTTTCTTTTATCCAGAATACTGTTCTTTTAAGATTGAAAAATCTCTTACTGTAACCAGACGAAAAGTATAACATGAGGAAAACATTGTTCCTAATTCTTATTTTTTTAATCTGTATCTTCTTGAGAAATAAGCAAATAAAATACAAAATTAGTATTTGCAAGAAATACTAAACATTCATATACATAAATTTTTTTTAGCTTAAGGGCCATAAATAAAGAAACAGGTAGTATATATCCCTTTACTACCAATTATTCTACATTAATACACCAAATTCAGCACACATTCATTGGTATGATGAAAATATGTTCGAAATTGTTATGTAATAACTGCCAATAATATTAAGTGATTCAGACTTCAGAAAAAGCAAGTATTTAGACAAGGTAAATAATTCAGTCAGTAACAACGTGGAACTTCGTACGTATGTACATCAGTCCGAGTTGCCATACCATATTAGCACAGAGATTCAGTTATCGATTCAAATCCCGTAGTGGAAGAGGTAGTGATAGGGAATATTAGGGTTTGATGATGTTATTTAAGGAGTATAATCCAGTGGAATAGATTTGGAAAGAAAATAAAGAACATGAAGAATACAGAAGATTAGAGTTTGAGAGAACACAAAGAGTGGATGCACCTGCGCCATTGCAAACGATTTTGAGCCACGTCATTCAAGGTCTCTAACCATCAGTTGCTATCATCTCGCGGATCTCAACCAGGTAGTCTACACCTACCAACATGGCTCAGTTCACTTGTCAGTGATATGATGGATTTGTGCTATATTTTGGTCTGTCCGCCCCTAGCTTTCTTCCAATCTACTCCTACACTATAGAACATCGCACGTTGGGTTAGTCGGTGGTTGGGCATACGTAACGTGTCCCAGCCATCTCAACTGATGAAATTTCACTACTTCATCAATTGATTTGCCATCCTTACCTAGTACCCATTTCCTAACTACTGCATTACTTACGCGATGGTCCCAAGATATACGAGCAATGTTTCGAAGACACCTATGATCAAATACTAGTAACCTACGAATATCCTCTACTCTTACTGGCCACGTTTCACTGCCATAAATTACGACGGAACGAATTGTTGCGCAGTAAACTCGTCCTTTGGTTGATAGACGGATATCTCGCCTACGCCACAAATGACGCAAGTTGGCAAAAGCTAGTCGAGCCTTTTGTATCCGTGATGAGATTTCGCCACACATCAGACCCCAAGGGCTGATGAAACTTCCAAGATAAGTGAAGCGGTCGACACGCTCAACTACTTTACTCCCTATCACTAGTTCGGGTGGCGGTGCAACCCAATCCTGAAGCAACATTTTGCATTTCGAGGGAGGGTAAATGATTGATGATGTACCAACTACATCTTTTCTATAGTTGCTAACAGTAGGATCGTATTACTGTCGACATGCTTAGTTGAATATTCCAACCATCTTAGTGTTGTTCCTAGTGAAACTCAAGATCAATACTTTAGATGATTCAAACTCATGTTATCTTATAGAGGAGAGAACGAGTATAGATAGCTAATAATCTGTTCAGAGAGTGTATGAATTTGTTCACAACTGCATGGCGGTTTATTTTTTGTTTCTTCATTGGCTTATAAATCCAAACACAAAGAGATATTTGTTTATTTAGTCAGAAAAGAAATCATATTTACTTGTTATCATATAATAAAATAGGACGATGCAAAAAGAATTGATCCAATATTCATTTATGATGATGAAAAATATCTAAAGAAAAGATAATTTATGTAAACATTTAGATAACAGCCTGTCATAACAAAATGACTAGCTGACTAACTCTTAAAATATTCACGTTATTATATTGTAAGAAATTGAAGAATTAACAATATTGAATGAGAACAGCATCATCTCATTATTTGTTAACTAACAACGATTTCAAACAACAGCAAAAAAAAAACACTTACTAAAACTTCAATAGTTGAAATCATGAGTCGATTGAAGTTAGACCATCATGGAAAACCTGGAAGCACTGGACAACCGTTTCGTCCTATTGTGGGACTCCTCAGCAGTGCGCACCCACGAACCCAGAACTTATCAATCTAGCGCGCGAGCACTCAGCCATTAGACTACTAAGCCCCCTTCAGATAATAATAATCTGCTCACTAGTGATTGACTTCAAGAGATATTCCTGGAGTTCATGTGAGAACCCGTGACCAGTGCAGTTCAACCAGGTCTGTTGTGAAATTTCAGCTCACTGAAGACAATGGTGACGGTGGCGCAATTTCGTGGATTGGTTGAAGTTAGACATTAACCCTAGTGGATGCCGGCTCAGTGGTCTAGTGGTAAAGCGTTCGCGTGCGAGACTGATAGGTCCTGTGTTCGAATCTCGCGAGGTGGGGTCGTGGATGCGCACTGCTGAGGACGAAACGGCTATCCAGTGCTTCCAGGTTTTCCATGGTGGTCTAGTTTCAATCGACTCATGATTTATACTATTGAATTTAATAAAATCTCCCCAAAACCCCTTCAGATATTACTTACTAAAACTGTTATATCATAATGAAGATTAAATTACGAATAACTTCCGAGAACTATTAATAGACAAATATTTTATACATATTGTTATTGTATAACTATTCAGTAACCACACTGTGTATATCCATATTCCTCTTATTATAACCATTTTGACCTATAGATTATTATTGTACGATCTACTGTTCTTGAGTTATGTCTTGTTTATTGATTGCAGTCTCCTACGTTCACAGCCACTTTTGGCTTCATTTTGTATAAATGTTATTTCCTATTTTATGGTGCGATGCGGTTTGTTTGGCTGGTATATAAACCAAGTATGTTTGAAATAAATGATTTGCATAGAGGAGGCTGTTATTGGTGTTCTGGACTCAACTGGACGGGCTAGGGGAGCAAAGGACAAATAAGTACGCTAGGCTAATCAGATCGGCAGAATTGTCATTGGTTTAGCACAGTATGAGAGTGAATAAGTCTTACTTCGAACGGCAATAAATTACATGATAACTAGAGGGACGTAAAGTCACAGCAAAAACAGTTAAGCCGTAATTCTTACTAGTTGTAAAATTAGCGTTAACACTATTTGTAAATGATTTTCATCACGAATCGATAGCTGATATTATTCAGAACCAACCTAGAGCCTGAAACAAATGTGTATTAGTTCAAGTTGTTGTACCATATTAGCATTACGAGTTGAAATGTAAAGAATGAAAGTAATGTAGTAACTATGATAATATGAAATAATACAAGAACTCAAGATGAAGACAAAGAGTAAGTGTATTTGAGCCACCATTAATGTTTCTAGGACGTCAACCAACCACTGATCAGCATTATTGCATTGATTTCGATTTGGTTCCATCCAACATTTAATGACTTTATGGACTGATCCTACAACTTGGTTTGGTCACCCTTAGCTTCCTTTTAGCTTATTTCTGCACAATAAAACGTCGTGCGTCGAAGTACGCGGTAGTTAAACATGAATAATACATACTCCAATTTCCGCAACAGATGAAGATTCACAAACTCATTAACCGATTAGTTATTTTTGCTTGGTACTCTATACCTAACTTCAGAAATGCTCAGTCAGTCGTCCCACGATATCCGAGCACTCCTTTGAAGACACTACCTAACCTGTAGCACGTAGTTGATATTCAGTACATAAGCATTGGAACCCAGAAGGTATTGTTTCACGACACACTCAGGGACTCATTAGTATTGTGTACACGAATCCACTCGGATTTTGTACCAAAGATGCTCAAGATTATTGGTAACATGGTGCCAATAGCTAGCTACTGAGCTGTCATCCCGCAGTAGCTGCTTCTAACTTGAATCAATTAGTGAAAGAATAGCGCAATTTCCATTCAATATCATATTTGAATATTTTACACCTTATTAACTAATTCACTTTGCAACTGAAAATTAGAATATCTTAGACACTAACGAAAACAGATTCAACACCAGGTTACCTAATAGTACGAAAGCACTTGAAACTTCCCATGACTCTGTAACTTTTGTACAAATCGGGGACTGATTTAATTTGTATATTGTATTCACTATAGAATACTATTGGACAGTTGCTACATTTTGGCATGTGAAATCTAAGTTGTGTACACATACAAACTCAATATGAATCAGATCCAGGAGTTTAACATTTGATAGTGAATACTTAACTATCGAAACTACTGGGTTAGGATCCAATGGTACAATTGCAACTTCCAAAATAACTATTTCACTCTACTAGTAAGAATTTCAGATTAAATCTTCAAGAATATAATGAATTCGCTAGTAAACTGACTTTTATACTTTGATTCAAGATTGTATTATCGATTATTTAATGAACCCATAGTAATAACCCATCATAGTTAAAGTATCCATTGTGAATCAATCAATCAATCAACAAAAACAACAACAACAACAAAGGAAAAATTTTAAACAATGTTAATCATAATGCACTTTCTCTTTTGCGTTATACATACACAAATTTATATTTTTACATAAGAAAAATAAATTTATTTTGTGATAAATAAAATAAATAAAAATAAAAAAAAAACAATTCCAAAATACCACCAGTAATTTGAAGAGAGAGTAAAAGAAAGAAAAGAAAAAAAAGTAAAAAAAAAGTAGAATCTCAGAGAACTACTCACTTCTGAAATATATTGTTACGTCATAGGTAAGTTATGGAAGTTAAAATAGTAATAATAAAAGAAGTGAAGAAAAAGCATCAATATATGAAACAATGATGACAATAATAATAATAATAATAATAATCGTGGGTAACAATAACCGGCATTTGTTAAAGAAAAATAAAACCAGAATACACAGTGTCGATGACAATCCAAAACATGAGAGAAGGAATAAAAACGGTGAAAATAAAATGTCAGCTTGCGTATATATATATATATATATATATATATATATATATATATATATATATATCAGAGAATCACATGGCAATCAGTTAATTTTTTAAACAAATATGGATATATATAGACTGAATTGTTTCATCTTGTTTATGGTAAACCGAAATAGAATGTTAACAAACAAAAGCATAATGCAATGTAAATAGGTAATTAACGATAGTAATAGTAATTATATTGTACTATAACTATCAACATTACCATATCTATTTTCATCAGTATAATTAGCGAATCTATTATTATTATTATTCAACTAGTGTATGACTTTTAGAATCTTCCTGATATTTATGAATGAAACACAAATTTACATAGTACATATACACTAAGCTAAATGAAGCCAAGGGAAAGATTTTATGTATATGTGTAGTTCAAGTTGGTTGGATAGATGTAGGATAAAACAAAATATAAACTAGAAAATATGTAAGTACTAGTGTATTGAGAGTGATTTTAATGAGGAGATAGTGTATGTGTGCAAACCAAAGAAAGACATTCCAGGAGTGCCAAGATAAAGAAATACATAAAACAAAGGAACACATCTGATCAACTTAGGAATAGATTATTGATAATAATATCAATATATATATATAGACAAAGTGGAGGTTAATGCAAGAAGATTGTTGAGTCGTGCGATAAAAGAAAGAAATAAAGATTGCACGTGTGAGCATAAACAATCTGTGGAACTGTACATACAAAATACAGTTACACATACATACATACATACATACATACACATATACTTATCATAACAACAAAATAGCTGACTTTTTGAAAGTAAAATCGAAATAGAATGAAAAATAAACACATAATATCATATACACGTGTCTTTAGTAGTAATCTACAAAGCGTTAAATATAACAAATAGCAACAAATATGAAACAATACAAGAGCTTAGCATAATGACAATGCACGATACAGTGATGGTAATAATACACGCATTTACACATTGACAGAAAAAAACAAACAAACAAGAAAGAATGAGAAAATGCATATTATATATGCATAGGATAAATAACTAAAGATAGAGTTCAGTATAGTAGAATACAAATCGAGAAAGTATACAAGACTATTTATAATAATAAGTGTGCAATTATCCTTTATTTTCCCCCATCTACTCACAATAATCAGCTTCTTTTTTCTTTAATATAATGGAGGAAGATCGATTGATGACTATAAATGCTTTGAATTATTATCATTATTATTATTATTGGATTCTTCATTAGGATGATGAGGAAGAGGGTTAGTATCATTATTACTACTATTATTATTATCATTATTATTATTATGTGCATTGAATAATAATAACTTATCATATTCACAATTTGACCAATATGAGGAAATATTTCCATTGTTATATAATAATGATGAATATAAAATATTATTATCATCATTACATTGACAATTTCTATGATGAATATTACTATCAAGCATTGTTGTAGGTGTGATAGTAATGGTAGTAGTTAATAAAGGATTATGACTATCATTATAAGTCGTATTGTTGTGATTGCCTGAGATGAGTAATTTATTACCAACTGTAGCACCAATAGAACTGGTACTTGTAAGATTTGGTAATAAATTTATTTGTTTATTATTAGTAGTATTAGTATTGTTATTATTATTCATAGTATTACGTGGTACAGATGGACAACGAATTATGCCAAAAGGAAGCTTATCAGTAGCTTCTGGAGGTAGATAACTAGTATGTGAAAAATCTGACAATGCTGGATTAGTATCTAATTGTTTACGTACACCGGCTAATGATTTTTTAACACGCATGGCTGATAGTCTAGCCGATGGACTAGCATACCAACATTCACTCATTATATCTTGTAGTGCTCGGATAATTTCATGTTTTGACCATATAGCTGGTAGACCTGGTCGTAGACCTTGTTCACAAACAACAGACTTCATTTCTTCTACTGAAGGATCTGCAGACACAAGATCCTGTGGGGGGAAAAAGTAAGAAAAAGAACAATCCCAAGGTAAGTACAAATAAGCCACAATAAATACAAATAAAAATCGGCATTTAGTTCAAGGGGTTTGATGGAGATTGGTTACAAACAGTTGGAGGGTTTACATTAATCAGAAATCGATCTTAATTGGGTTACAATTAAAAACCAGGGAGGATTGAACAACCGTTTCGTTCAAATACGAAGTTACCCCCACAAGTTCACTAGGGATTGAACCCAAGACATTCAGGTCCCGTGGTGAACGCTCAATACCAGTGGAACCCCAAATGATTGATCACTGGGTGATGATCAATATCATATGTGTCAAGTCCTTATTAGTGCAGATCAAATGCTATTGACCAAGTTGCAATGTGACCACCAGTCTAGGTTACTCGACACTGTGTGCACCATGTTAAAATTATATGGTTGTTGAAGGTAGTCGACAGGAAACCCTGGACCCAGGTTTTGTGCTAGTGTAAAGAATACAACCAGCAAAACAACTGAAATTCCGAAATTAGATTTATCCAATATATTTACTACGCTATAATTTGTATATTCTTGAATTCGAGTTACAAATAATGACATCCAATAGACTGAACCGAAATAGATCAATTGAAATTTAAGATAGTAAACTGATAGATGAAAGTTAAACACTTCAAGTGATAATGAACCGACATACATAAATCAGTGTAATATGGTGTAAAAACTAGAGATAGAAAGTTAAACTGATGCTACTGATAATTCTATGATAATAATAATTATTAAGCTGAAGTCAAACGAGGCCATTTATGCAAATTACCGTTGTTTTCAAAAATAAAGTAGCAAATTTACGGTGACTTTAACAGATAGTATAACAATAATAACTTAAAATAGGTTCAATAATGACTGAAATACGTTTCAAAACAGTTTTCTACATTTTTTGCTTGTACTACTGATAATACTGTGAATAAAAGAAAATGACCTAATCAGACTACACAAAAGCGGGGACACTTATTATTTCCATTGAACCGAACTGACAAAAATCTTTCCATAATAATCATAATCGTAATAAAATGATAAACGACAACTATTTCAAGAAAGTTTACAAGATAAAATGGTAGTTAGTAATTGGGTAATAGAAGCCTAAGTGAAAGTATAGTTTACCGACGATCTTTAGCGATTACTAAAATAACCAAGCTAATTGGGAAGTGAAAAAAAAAATGTGGGGAAAAGTTAGAGTTGGATAAGTGTAAGCGATTATATTGTAGTTATATTGATGAATTGTCATTGCAGATAATTCTTCGGTTTTAAATTTTCAGAAATTCTGTAATCATGTTATATACAAACCATAACTGAGAATAACCAACCTTTTTTTCCCGATGTTTAATGAAAGCATAATATCTAGCATTTTCTGTTCATTTAGTGTGTCAAATCTGGGCACCATCAGATTGTAGTTTTGATTGCAAACTTCATTTTAATCATCTAAGGTTATACATATTCACTGAAATTTATCACTATAACGTAACTTCATAGATTGACTGAACTACTTATAAAACAGGGTTTCTCTCTGTAAGCATTTAAACAAACCTTAAATACTTCCATCACAATTTACAATGAGGAACTTTAAATAGAGAAGCCCCCATTTACCCCAGTACATATATGTTAGTTGCACTAAATTGTAAATAATGGTTTAATCCACTGATGCCAGTTTTTTAAGCACAAAACATTATTGCATGATTTTTCACTTATACGTCATAATCTGAAAAGCATAACGTTTTACTAAGATTAAATATTGATTTAAACAATAATTTACCAAACTGAAGTAAGAGAATGATTGAGTAAATAATTTCATAGAGTACAACTATGTCGAGTGAGGCCGTTATCCATCTTAGGCAATGGAAGATGGTAGCACAGTCAGTTAGTTACAACGTAGGATCAGGTACATATACGCATCGCACCAAGTTACCACACCTTATTAGCACAACAAGATGAACACGAAACTCATAGAAGTAATATATAAAAGATTGCATATAATTATGTAATACAGATAGAAAGGATTAGTTCGTAGAAAGAACGGTATAAAGTAATTTTAATCTCACGGTTCAGAGGAAGATAACGTCGTAAATTGATTGAAGTTGGACATTGATACTATTGGGTCCCGTTTGCAGTGATTGGAGATTAAACATTTGCATACGAGACTGAGTCCCGTGTTCGATACCTGATGGTGGGGTTGTGGATATGTATGAGTCCGATACTAAGACGAAACGATTGTTCAGTGCTTCTTGGTTCTCAATGATATTGTCTAGCTAAGATTAGTTTATGACTTAGATTGTGAAAATTCTACCATCTCCACAAACACCTTAATTACTACATTCATGACAGAATATGGAGATCAAGTTTAAAAGAATAAAATATAAGAACATATGACTGAATGAATGAACGAGGAAAATACTAAATATGTCATCATGATAATTAGTGCTGAGCTACATACATCTTAATACGTATACATACCTAGAAATGAACTAATCAACTACTGTTATTTTTACTTGGGGGAATAATATCCAAGTAGATGAGATCAATTAAAAATTATCCAAACAAATTTTATCCAACTAATAGAAAGTAGAACAACAATAGCATACAACTGTTCAAATCATAGTAACAATAAAAACAGGATAAACACACAGAGAGGACAGAATACACAAGATGTTGTACATCATAAACCACCACCACCACCACCACAATCACATCACAAATTCTTTGCGCCTACTAGTTATTTTGACAGACGTACGAGTGTGCTTGTGCATCAATGTACCGAAGATGTACAGCACACACTATACTGGTACACCATGGTAATGAAGAAAATGGAGAGGTGATATTCTTCTCTTTGCAAACTAGACGACTAGGCATACACACATAATATATGTCTACAATATATACGTACAAGCCAATGATCTATGACATTAATAATAACACGTGAAGTATAAACATACAGTTAACTATATATAATACACAATGACAACGGTAGAACAAACATAATCGCATGTGTACATGACCGATACAAGTGTCTCTCAACCAACATATACATATGTAAACTAGATTTTTCCTTATCAAGTAATTAACCAATCGAATTATATGAGAACAGAAAAGTCATATTGAAGGTAGACAGCAGTATTCCATGAACGTTGTTTATTTATCAACGTAAACTTAAATATATACATAAATGTCTCAAAGGCGGAGTGAACAAGTGATGGATGACAGCGTTACATAATATTGCCCTACAATTTTGAATCGTTAAAGAATTGTAATATTTACGCAATTGACATGAAAAAACAGAAAAAAGTCAACTAGACAAAAATAAGTAAACAAGCAAATAAACAAAGTTACGAACAGCATCATAATCTAAGTAGTATATAATTTCAACACGATAATATATGGTTAGACATGGAACACAACTATAGGACTAAAACTATGAGAATAGTATATTGGTAGCTGATATTAGAGAGATGAAGAGATACGAATATTTGCTATTGATTTATCATTGAGTGGCGACCAAGGTTATGTTTGCCTAGTACTTTAATGCTGATTGAATTCTATCGAACAAGTTGCAAAGTGACCACTAAACTCTAACTGACCTGATATCCCGTACATCATTACTATATTAAGATGTTGAATACTTGAAGGTACTTAGAAAACTCCGCTTGATTTAAGTTTCGTGATGCTTGGTACTCATCCGTAAACTGTAACTGTAACCTTGAAGGGATTGATACTATCGAATATAGCTCAGCGGTAACGTTTCAAGCTGTAAAGCTGAATGACGTAGGACTACAATTCATTAGGGAGAATTAGACTAATCAATGGACACAGAACAAATATTACTTACTACTGCTCACTTTAAAGTGAGATGTTATGGTTACGATGGCGACAAGGTCAATAAAATCGTACGATAATTAACCGAAACATTGGTCGCTAAAGTGATGTAAAAACTTGTGTCAGTAGGTTTGAATGACCCTTTATCACTTACGTCGGATTGGACAACCAGTTATTATTATTAACTGTAAATTACAGCCATATCTATGAACTGCCCCCAAATGCCCTGGTACGGCCGAGAGTGGGGAGAGTCCGCTCTCCCTCTCCAAATGCTCTCACATGGCCACGCGTATATAGCCTCTGCCAGGGAAGTCCTATTCACTGCCTTCTCGCAACACGGGTGTTGTTTACGAAAATGAGAGGACGAAAAGTGAATGTCCGGCGCTTTAACCGGATCCCAAACCAATGGTGCACATGGGCTCCAGAATCCTGAAGAAACAAATGGCGTATGAACCAATCGTTGGTCACCGGCTTCCATGGGACTGCTTCTCCTCACGATGCCCTACTACCTTGTGGGTCAGACATTCAGGTCGAAGGCTCGGGGTGTGGCCTCCTAAGAAGACCACCTGCTTCGGTTTGGGCACCCGAGCAATATCACAGCCCTCACACATATCAATTGAGATTTTTGTGGCGCATATGTATTTGGTCCCTCTTTGTACCGATATATATGTGTTAAAATAAATAAATAAATAATATATCTATGAACTTGTATTGAATCATTCAGTTATATTACATGAAGACACTGCCTGTTGGACCGAACCATGTAGGTAGGCACAGAATGATTGGTTAAGGTCCGCATGATTATCGTAATTAATGATTAGAGACTTTGTATGATATGGCTCAAGGTCATTTGCAATGGCATTATTTGTCTTCCTTCAGATCCCAATTTTCTCGAAGTGTGTTCGATACATAATCCTTTCCATTCCCATCAATACGGGTCACTACCTCTATTACCCTGGGATTCATCAAGACAATTTCACCTTGCTATACTAATGAAATATGACAAATTGAAGTGATGTTCATATATGCTAGGTTCTACGTTGTGTTTGAATAACTGATATGTATAATGTTCTCTTAAAACTTTTATTCTAATATGAAGAAGAATCGAGTAAACTAACATAGTCAGAGTATACAACATTCATCTATTTGATTTATTTTCCGCTAATATTTCATGATCATTCTATAATTTATCTCATCTCATAGTTACATAACCTTTATTTTTTTTAATTATCAATCTTGATTTAACTTTCATGATATTCTTAACGAATGATTGATCTTTTTTAAGAAATACATTTTTTATTTTCTTAATGAGAATTGTGTTTAGTTCACTCTTCTATTATTTAAGTTTGGTAACTATTGTGGATCGCGGGGTGGCTATTCTAAATTCTACCAATTGACCAACTTCAGATATCTCATTACGACCCCAATACTGTTCCTCAATCTCTAATATATCAGAACACGAACTGTTAGATGAAAATTGTTTATGGAGTCAGGAGAAGAAGAAGAATAATACTTTACAGACAAATGCATATTTATACAGTTGGGACTACCGTGAATATTGACCAATAGGAAAATGACACCATTTCACATTCAAGGATAGCATTAGACTTAACAGGATAATTTTTGGGATATTTTTATGAATATTCCAACAGTAACTTTATTATTATTATTAACAACGATAGCAGATCATCGGTTTTCATGATGAAAAAAAAAGTTTTTCTTTTCAAGTTATACCGCTTTAAGAGTGAATTTGTTGAAAACAGATCATTTTCATATCAGAAAGGGTTTTATGGACATTATAGTCATTTCAATGATTGAGATCATGAATCAATTGAAGCTAGATATTACCATGGAGCATCTGAAAGTAGATCATTTTGTTGAACTAATCCTCTTTATTTTAAAATTATATTACATAACAACTACTACAGTAGAATTTTTGCAATTCACAATGAACTATGATAAAAGATGAATAAATGTAAATAACAAAATTCAAATTCTTATTTAGTTGTAAGAATTTGAGGTGTAAATATATCATCACATATGATTAACTCTAGTCTCCTATAATCATTCATGAAAACAGAATGGAAGTAAAATCCAGTCTTGTATAGGAACTAATTACTGACTACGATAAAAATAAGTAACAATCTAATATAATATATCATTTTAGTAAGAAAATGTTTTCATGAGAACGTTATTTAAATTAAGGATACTTACTTGATAAGGTAGTTGATATTCATCTGGTCCGAATAAATTACGAACATAGCATCGCCTTGTAACCTCCCAAAATACTAAACCTAAACTGTACATATCAGCTTGTTTAAATGCTTCTGGACTTGTTAAACGTATTGTATTATCTAACACTTCAGGAGCCATATAACGTTTGGTTCCAACACGATCTGAGTTTGAATTAATTTCTAATGCAGTATTCATAGATGAATCCAATTTAAGAGCAAAACCCAAATCTCCAATACAACATTCACCATCCATTTTAACTAAGATATTTCTAGATTTCAGATCACGATGAGCTATAGCAGGTTTACCCTAAATTTACAAAATATTACAATCAAATAGAATTTATTTGTAGATAACATATGATAAATTTCAATAGTTGAGATCATGAGTAAATTGAAGCTAAACCATCATGAAAAACCTGGAAGCACTGGACGGCGTGGATGCGCACTGCTGAGGAGTCCAACAATAGGACAAAACAGTCATCCAGTATTTCCAGGTTTTCCACGGTGGTCTAGCTTCAATTGATTCATGATTTCAACTATTGAAATTACTATAATCTACACAAAACCCCTTATGATATGATAAATTGTTAAAATTTATGTAAAATTATAAAACTATAGACTAAATATACTTTCAGTAAGAAAAGATATGTGCGAAGAATATATTTAGTGGTCATTAATCTGTAATAACAATAATTCCTAATACTTGAGTAGTAATTAACTCATAATGTATATTGATTATAGACAGGAACAGAAAGTGTATGAAACTTATGAAAGCTTTAATGGTGTGTGTGAAGGGTCATGATGACAACATAAGCTTCATTTGCATAATCATCGATTGATGACAAATATGAAAAGATATAGAAAGTTATATTCCTACATGATACTGATGGAGAAAAAATACAAACGCATTATTATGATTGTTACTCATAAAGTTTTGCTTAGGTTTGGGCGCCCGAGCGGTATTCCAACCCTCATACAAATTGAATCATTTGTGTGACACATATATATTTGGTGCCTTCTTGTACTAATGTTTACGTGTTTAAATAAATAATAAATACTCATAAAGAACAAAACTGTTTTTAAATGTGCTCTTTGGAAATACGTGAGAATTTTCGATACGCATATTACGTTTGTGGCACTTCACGATTGTAGGTCTGTAAGTACAATAACTAAGAAATTTCCGTATTCATAACACAGCAATATTTGTATTATGATACTGGAAATATTAGCTTAAATACCAGTGATCGGAAGTACAATAGTGTACAAACTAAACGACTAACAGCTTATTTATTTGTTGAAACACAGACATTGGTACAAAGGGGTGCCAAAATATCTGTATGCGCCACACGAAGTAGTTATTATTCAGTTTGTGTATGGGTTGAAATACTACCTGGGCGCTCGAACGGAAGAAGGCGGTTTCCTTAGGGAGCCACACTCCTTGAACCTTTGACCCAGAGGTCTAACCCATAAGGTAGTGAAACAACGTCAGGAGGTGTAGTCACATGATAGCCGGTGACCATGTACACCATTGATTTGGAACCAGGGTTTTCCAACTCTTCTAGGTAGGTCCCCTGTACCCACCAATCCGGTCTAAGGACCGAACACTAGCTTTTCATCCTCTCAATCTCGTAAACAGCACCCTCGCCTTCAGAAGGCAGTGAGTAGGACTTCCCTGGCAGTGGCTATACACGCGTGGCCATGTGAGAGCATTTCGAGAGGGAGGACTGACTGTCCCCACCCCCGGTAGTACCAGTCATTCGGGGACTGACGGTGAAATGCGACCAGTAGAACTAGGCTGTGGCACATTCACGATATCACTCCTACCTGACACAGCTGCTGAGTTAACGATGTTAAAATCAGGTGGGTAGTTTCAATTAAAAGCTGAAAGTGAACTAATGTCAAGAAACTGAACTGAATGATATAATGGTGCAAAATTGACAAATTTCCAACCTGGTAAGCGATATTAGCTAAAGATACTGGCTGCTGGGAAGCTTAGCCTAAAATCAAGAATTTATAGTCATGATAACTAAAATCTATGGGCTTCTTAGTATAATATAAATCAACGACTGGAGAATTTAGACAATAAAGCATAAAACTGATCCCATCGGTGGTTATGTTTTATAGATATTTTGTTCAGAACAAATAATTCCCTATCAGTACAAAACCATGACACCAGACAAGTTTTCATTAAACTAACAGAATAAACTACTGGTAGCTGTTAGTTTTGTTTCTATCAATCACATTCAGTGAAACACAGTTAACGCATCACCTGAGTAAAATAACATCTCCGTAAGGAACATACCTCTATTACGCAAAAACAAACAATGAGTTTAGGCAGATTATAGTGTTAAAGTAAGGATACTATTTAAAAGGTATCATTTTTACTACAGAGCCAAGTGCATACAACAAAAATTCATTACCTGTGTCCCAGTAATTTCCAGATGTAAATGTGCCAGACCATTAGTGATTGATGCAACAGCCCGTAAAAGAGCAAACGGTGTTAGACAATGTTGTTGTAAAAATTCGTATAATGATCCCAAAGGATGATAGTCAGTTATAAGCCATAATTGGGTAGACAATCCTGTATCCTTATTATCAGCAGCAATAAAACCTAGAATATTTGCATGACGTAACATCACCGTCTGATAAATGTCTGTTTCTCTGAAAAGTATTAAATAAGTCAAAATTTGAAGGTAATTTAATAAAATAACCACAGAATAACATATACACAAATGATTCTATGAAAGATTTCCTTTACATAATGAGCGAATTTCCAAAGCTATAAAATGAATAATTTACCTTCTAAGTGGTTTAATGAATAAGTTTTACGATAATATGGAGATAGGGAAAGAATGAGATTGCTTTTTTTGTTATTGAAGCTTAACAGCCCCCAAATGCCCTGGTACGGCCGAGAGTGGGGAGAGTCCGCTCTCCCTCTCCAAATGCTCTCACATGGCCACGCGTATACAGCCTCTGCTACGGAAGTCCTACTCACTGCCTTCTCGCAACACGGGTGTTGTTTACGAAAATAAGAGGACGAAAAGTGAATGTCCGGCGCTTTAACCGGATCCCAAACCAATGGTGCACATGGGCTTCAGTATCCTGAGGGAACAAATGGCGTATGAACCAATTTCTTGGTCACCGGCTTCCATGGGACTGCATCTCCTCACGATGCTCCACTGCTTTGTGAATCAGATCTTCAGGTCAAAGGCTCGGGTTGTGGCCCCCTAAGAAGACCACCTGCTTCGGTTTGGGCACCCGAGCAGTATTATAGCCCTCACACATATCAAATGAGATCTGTGTGGCGCATATATATTTGGTGCCTTCTTGTACCAATATCTATGTGTTAAAATAAAATAAATAATAAGAAGCTCAACTGTAAAAGTTTGCCGATTATCCGTTCTACGTAGGTTGAATTTTTTTTATTAAGTAAAAGGGTTCCTGCTTGATTATAAACGTCGGGTGGAAGGTACTACGAAGACTTGAGAATATCTAATATAAAAACTTGTCATTACATGCTTGTTCCGACTTCTACCACTTATGGTATGATTGTGTGTGCTGTTTGGTTAGGTATTTTAAGTATATTATTGTATGAATTTTGAGTTATGACCGAATTGGATACGTCTCTGATTGACTACTGGGTTAGAAAGGGCTCGAACACCAATGAGTGCTAAGCCCTTGATTATTGTTCATTTGTCTAGTATGGAAATTCATGAAATAGGTCATGGGTTTGACTGAGAATATGGTACGTGATATCGATTTCACGACTCCCTGGTTGGGGTCCGAGAGACGGTGTAACGCAGTGGCTAGAGACGTTATCAGATATGGCTCAGAATAGAAGCCAGTGGCGATCGTGCTGTAACCTTCTTTTACTTTCTTCATAAAAAGTGGTTGTATCTTCCTTAACTGAAAGATCTCTTCTGATTGTACCTTTCCGTTTCCCCCACCATTGTTCTCTCTCTCTTCCTTTTTTTTTATAATTCCCCACGTCCATTACTTTTTTTTTCTTCTTTTTTTTTCTTTTCTCCTTCTCTTCAAATTATCATTGTTTTGTGTGGCGCATATATATTTGGTGCCCCCCTGTACCAATATTTATGTGTTCAAATAAATAAATAAATAACGTGATATCGATTACAATCTTCAGCCATAGCAAATCACTGTTTCTTCAAAATATAACAGAAGTGAAAACAATTTTAATTCGAAAAGAGATGCTGAAACTATATCGTATCTTTAACTAGTAAGATTTTTGAATTCAGATTGTGTCGGCAGCAAATCATACTCGATAGAATTGTTATTTCAGGCATAAAAAACGATTAATTTTGTATTAGTATGATTTCAATCTATAAGCAAGTATGAATATAATTTTCCAGTTCATTAAGATATTTTCGTTACATAACATCTCATTCATGTCAACTTAACCATATTCACATATATTGTGTTCATTCTAACGATTATATATTTCTCACTTTCATAAATCACCTCATTCGATAGCTAAATTTCTAATTCACATCACAATTAACCGAATTCTAACAAATGCTAATTATTCACTGACATATATATATATATATATATATGTAGCTATGAAGATGAGCTCTCTGAAAAAGAATCTTGCGCTGGAAGAATTGTTTTAAAATAAACCAGAAACTTTATGTATTTCTATGAAAATTAACAAGGACCTTTTCGTCTTAAGAGATATGTATCCGAGCTTGATTAGCAAGGGAGTAAATTGTATGAGCTTTCAAAAAAGCCATACAGATGTGATGGCGGGATTTTGGATTTCCTACTGATTCTGTCAGATACTAACCCATGAAGGTTAGTGAAACTTACAAGATAAATGAAGTGATCAACGTGCTCAACTACATCACTCGTTATGGCTAAGCCTACATGTTGACTGAGTTTCAGTTCTGAATATGTTTCAGAAAATCCTTTTGCATATATTATAACATTTCATTTAGTCCCTTTTTAACGTTATTTGGTCATTCGCTATATCATGTTGATACGTATTCACAATAACTTCTTTTCGATAAATATGTTAAGCACTAATTGTCATCTCGAATTATTTTACGTTTTAAAAACTGTTGATAACCTGACGAAATAAAATGAATCCATACTGTTATCCTTAAATTTCTATCTTTGCTCTATTTGAGTTGTGCTTGAATTCTTTTCATTTTCAGTAGTTGAGATCATGAATCAATTGAAACTAGACCACCATGGAAAACTTGGAAGCACTGGACGGCCGTTTTTTCCTACTGTGGGACTTCCTCAGCAGTGCTCATCTACGATCCCGCCTCGCGAGATTCGAACCCAGGACCTATCGGTCTCGCGCGCGAACGCTTAACCTTAAATCTTGATTTGTTTCAGATAGTAGGTTAAACTTAAAATAAAATCTTAAGTATTCGTAGATGAGGTAATTTTGAACTGATTTATCTTGATTTTTAAGAAAAACGTTAGTATTGTTATCAACCTATCAACCATGTACTTGGCTTTAGTAGCCAGTAATATTACTCCATGGGGTGAACCAAAGTGGATAGAGCGGAGTTTCAACCTTCAACTAAGAGGTAGAGAATCGAATGCCTTAACTACTGGGGTCACAGTTCTTAATGAGTAAACAAAGTTGTGCAGCTGAGTAACCTGATGTAAAAGCATGTACGTGCATGAAACATGATCCTACGTAAAGCTTCACTTAAGGTCAAACATGTATGTGGTATAAATTTCGAAGAAACCATAACAAATACAACTATTACAAGTCGATTAATCCACTATTGTCACCAGAGATTCCGGCAATGCCTTTGTGTTTACCTGAAGTTTTAAAGACAGAAGTGCTGTTGATGGGATATGTGAGTGATAGCGTGAAATCAATCACATTACAACACTCAACTTTACCCTTCAGCTTCTTTAAAATAATTAACTGCAATTTCCCAAATGTCTATAGCCATTCGAATTATGTTCTAGAAAAAAAAGTTTGGTAAAATATTTTCATATTTCAAGTCAAAGTACTGTTTTTAAACGTCATATTAACTGGTTATTCTCCATATTAATTCTATTAGCTCATATACACCGACTGATTGACGATTTAATATAAAAACTTGAATGTGTATGGAAAAGTAGGATTAGTCTACTGTACTAGCGACAAGTCATCATAAAGAATAATATAAAAGGATGAAGCTGGTTGTAAAGTCACTGTTGACCTTAAGAGTTAACAACGAAAGCTGACATTAGGTTATTATTTCATAACCATATTCATGAAAGATTACTTCGGAAAGAAAGGAGTCTAACTTTAAAGTATGAAAATTACTTGCCATTTTATCAGTCAGTCAGCTACAAAGTAAGATCACACTCATATTTGCATCAGTCCAAGTTATCATACCTCAATAGCACAACAAGATGAACACCAAATTCATAGAAGTAGTTAATTCTGTAGTGGCAATATATAAAAGAAAGATTGCATATAGGGATATAGTACAGGAAGAAAGAATTAGTTCGTAGAAAGAAAGATATGAAGTGATTTTAATCTCACAGTTTAAGAGAAGACAGAGTGTATACATCTACGCCATTGTGATCGATTCTGAGCCATGTCACCCAATCTCCAACCATTCGTTACAATGGTCACGCGAACCCCAACCAGGTTGTCTGCGTCTACCAACATGGCTAAGACTAGAAGTTAGTGACAACAAGCACTGATGCCACGTTTTTGTTTGACCGCCCCTAACTTCCTTCCAACCGTCTCCAACACTAGTCAGCATTGCGCGTCGTGGTAATCGGTGGTTGGGCATGAGCGATATGGATATGGATATGGAGGGTCCACCTGAGGAGTTGGAAAACCCTGATTCCAAACCAATGGTGCACATGGGCTTCAGCATCCTGAGGGAACAAATGGCGTATGAACCAATTTCTTGGTCACCAGTTTCCATGGGACTGCATCTCCTTACGATGCTCCACTGCCTTGTGGATCAGATCTTCAGGTCAAAGGCTCAGGGTGTGGCTCCCTAAGGAAACCACCTGCTTTGGTTTGAGCACCCTGGCAGTATCACAACCCTATCACAAATCTCATTAGATTTGTGTGGCGCATATGTATTTGGTGCCTCCTTGTACCAATATATGTGTTCAAATAAATAAAAATAAATAAAGTGAAGTCATCGACGCGTTTGACTACTTCACTCCCTATCCTTAGTTCAGGTGTTGACGCAGGCCAGTCCGGAAGCAACAATTTGCATTTAGAGGGAGAGAAACGCATCTCAAACATCCTGGCATTGTTGTTCAGTGCCACCAAAAGGCTCTGCATTTTATCAGGGTCTTTACTAAGCAGGAGTATGTTATCTGCGCACTCTAAGTCGGTAGGTGGATCTCCAGAAAGGAGATCAATTCCTAAAAATTCAGTCGACGAGAACGTTGGTTCCAACAGTAGGTCTATGATGAAATCATATGGATATAATCAATATTGCAATTAAAATACGAACTTACCGGAACCAGGAGCGTTCATCTCGACTAGAAAAGATTTTAGCTGCTACTAGATCACCTTGCCAAACACCTCGCCAAACAACACCATAACGGCCTTCACCAATACGTTCTTCCAACTGAACTTGCCTAGCGACTGTTCGCTGAACTAGTAAAGGTTTTCCGGAACCTGACCCACTGCAGGTGTGGTCCATCAAATCTGCAGGAATAGTACCTGTTGTAGGCATGGCGGAATTTGATCCCGAACTAGTGATGGTCATAGCCCCAGTAGGGGAATTTGAACATGAATTAATATTTCCAGGAGTGGCTCCCAAAGCGCTACTGCCAAAATGACTCAAACTACTAGCGCCACGACTAGTTATTCCAGCAGAAACAGCAGAAGGATCATTGGAAAATACTCTTGCATTTTCAGGACAAGTATTATTTACAGTTAAAGTATCTGGTACTTGCACAGGTCCCTTTAAATACTGGTTATCGATATTATCTGATGTCCATAGATGATCAGATGTAACACCATTCTGAGAAGCAATCTGTTTTTGCCGGGCTACTTAGTTTGCACAATCATAGAAGAGAACAATGATTTTGATGAGTTCGTTATAATTACTGACACGAAAAAATAGGTATTCACAAAGATAAATGTTATATGAGAAAACATTTGCCTAAAAAATGGGATCAGTCTCTGAAAAAGCAGTTTAGTGTAGCAGATTCGTGACTGTTTCTATCAAATATACCCTTTAACGCTGTAAATTTTATGCAAGCAAATAGTTCATGTGGGAAGCCGACAAATTATATTTCAAATTAGTGAAAAACGACTAGAAAGTTAATACTTAAAAAGATTGTGCAAACTACATTAAATACAAACTGTGTCGGTAATAAAGTGGCAAGTTTTCATGAGAAAAGTGAGAATCGCTTTGTGAACATTGGGATAATTTACAAAGAGATTTTTCCTTTGATCATAGATAACAATTAGGAATTTCTATTTCAGTGATGTTAAGACAATTGAGTAATCTACCTGGTCACATATTATTTGCGCATATTACAATCGGGTAGCTGCTACAATAAACATTCAATTTAAACCTTAACTACGTCATATGTATATTCTTGGCTGGCTCAGTGGTCTAGCGGTTAAGCTTTCGCGCACTGCTGAGGAATCCCACAATAGTACGGAATGACTGTCTAGTGCTCCAACGTTTCGCCCGCAAATGCCCTGGTACGGTCGAGAGTGGAGAGAGTCCGCTCTCCCTCTCCAAATGCTCTCACATGGCCACGCGTATATAGCCTCTGCCAGGAAAGTCCCATTCACTGCCTTCTCGTAGCAGGGGTGTTGTTTACGACATTGAGAGGACGAAAAGCGAATGTCCCGTCCTTAGACCGGGTTGGTGGATATGGAGGGTCCACCTAGGGGAGTTGTAAAACCCTGATTCCAAACCAATGGTGCACATGGGCTTGAGTATCCTGAGGGAAAAAATGGCGTATGAACGAATTTTTTGTCACCAATTACCATGGGACTGTATCTCCTTACGATGCTCCACTGCCTTGTAGATTAGACCTTTAGACAGAAGGCTCCGGGTGTGGCCCCCTAAGAAGATCACCTGCTTCGGTTTGGGAATCCGGACTGCGTCTCAGCCCTCACATAAATCGAATGATTTATGTGGTGTATATCTCTTTGGCTCCTATTTGTACCAATGCTTGTGTTGAAATAAATAAATAATAAATTACATGGGTCAGTCATATCATTCTTGTTTTACTTCTAATTAGTAAGTAATTTTTCGTCATAAAGAGCAAGTGTACTAGCACTTTGTTCCGTAAACAACACATAGCGGGCTATGAAAACTTCAAAACCCTTTGAGGAACACGAACACTGTTGACGCAGGATCAATATAATTGTCGTATAAACATTTTCAAACTAATTACTCTGAAGAAAGCCAGATAAGCTTAATAAAACGGGGAAAATTTCAGAAATGAGGAATGCAAGAGTCAGGATACTGAACAGCGAATACTATATGAGATCATTCATAAATTTAATGACCATGGTTAACACTGAGCAGCCAAATGACAGCAATATCTACATTATGTAATAACTCATCAAACTTCGGATACCCTTCATCATGATAACTCAATACTGAAATAACGTAGTGCTGACCGGTGGGGACAGCTAGTTATACCCATATTACGAAAAAGTAACTCACCTGATTTTCTTCTCAAAAGGAAATAGAAAGTCCCTGATACAATACAAAGGATGATGCATAGTATGGTTAATAAAGATATAGCGACAAGATATAGGTCCGAAGGATTGTCCTTGACAAGCAGCATGAGTTCCTCCGAAGAAGGAACATTACAATGCTTTTCAGAACAACATCTAATGTCATTGTCTTGCTGACACTTAATGGGAGTAAAGAAGTCATCTTTCGCACACCTGTGGAATAATCGACATTTAGCAAACTTACGTGAGATCGTAGAATTGCCGAGGTTCTTTTCGAGGTTCGTGAATAAGATTTAGACGACATGAATAGCCTGGACCTGGAGTACAACAAAAAGGATGTGTTTTTAATTCGCGATAATAGGTAGGAAGGTGGAGCTTGTCTTCCCAATTCGAGAGCAGTAAGTCAATATATCTATTCCAGTTTTTCTGGTGTTCCTTGGAGAGTGGACTACAAGGCCGACAATCTGACTGATTAGCTGCAGGACACAGCAAAAGCATACACTCCATTAACAAGACAAAAGAACAAGCATCACTTAGCGGCACACTGATGACCCTGAGTATTGAAACATTCAAACTGTCATACTTCAAGCATCACAATTTACTAGGATAGTATAATGGACAGGTAGCCTCTCGATAGACTCGTCTGAGTGATGAAACGGCGCTATAAGTTCCACTGAACTTAAGGCGCACTTTGTGCCTTCTTTTGAAGAGATATAATGACACGCGCGCTATTCAAAAAGGACAGTGGTATTTTTCCTCGCTGAGTAAATTCTTTTGTTTTGATCGTTTATACGTATCAAAGCTACTGTTTTTCACTTTAATTGAGTTTCTTTCAGTTAAAGTATTCGATTAAATTATCGTTTTTGTTTCTAAAGTAGTTTTGTTGTCAGTACTTTTGAGTACTCTGTTTTTTTTATAGTATCTGTTAGTACTTTTGGTTCTAACGATCCACAGTTTTTCCAATTTTTTTGGTCATAGATTATTTTTGTCCCTGAGTATTTTTGCATCTAGTTCTTTCTAAAAAAAACCCGGTGTTTAAATGACTGGACAGTGCAAAAAAGTAATTGCCAACGCCTGGGCTGTCGTTATCCTGTTGAAAGCGGCATGCAGTGCGATGAGTGCAAAGGATGGTACCACGAAGTTTGCACAAATTTAACGCCTGCAGCTTTCAAACGGTTCAGTAGGAATGGTTGCGTATGGCTCTGTCAACAGTGCTGTTCGGATGCTAACAGCTTGCTAACCGAGGCCATCTCATTGGTTAATGCTGCTAAAAAATGTTTTAACAAGAGTGGTCGCGACACATCATTAAGTACTCGCTCCGTTGACACGCAAATTGGCGTGAGGCAAACTAAAGTGAGTTCGAAAACAGATGACTCGCACCGAGCAAAGGAGGGAGAACAGTCCCCAAAGAGTTCTGCCCGCACATAAATCTCAAGGAAAAAAGTTTCTTCTGTCCCACGTTATCAAAATGGTATCCAGAAAGAAACACATAGAAGCCGCAACCACAAGGCTCGATCAGTTTCTACTGGGACACATAACCTGACCTCCCAAGTCATCGAAAACCCTCCGTAATCCCACAGTATGTTTGACGCGACTGTGGTTGCTTCTCCAAGCAACGTTGACGAATGGGTACAGGTTGTGAGGAAGAAACAGAAAAACGATATGAAAGGGAACCCTGCCCCCACAAAAGAAGTCGAAAAATCGAAGGCTGATCACAGTAACAGATCAGTCATTTTTCATAGGATCAAGGAGAGCGAAAGCTCGAACCAAAATCTCGTTTTGAGCATGACATTGTCCTGATAAAACAGCTACTTAATCAACTCATGCCTCAAAATATCTCCGGAGTCACCTTGCTAAAGGTGTATAGACTAGGTAGTTTAGCGAACTTGAAGCCTAATCAATCTAGACTGCTTAAAGTAGTTTTCAAATCTTCGAATGAAAGGGACTTAATTTTGCAAAATGGACATAAATTAAAAGGTTCGGGAGTTTTTATTCGAAAGGACTTGCCGTTGGCAGACCGTGTAAAAAGGCAGGAAGCCAAAAAAGAACTACAAATGAGGTTAGACGCTGGCGAAAAGGACCTAAAAATTACAAATTTTCGGGTTGTGAGGCTTCGTCAGAGAATGATGGCGAAGCCACTCTGGATGGAACACGAAGCCACTTAAATAGGCTACGGATCTGTTACACTAAAGCCCGAAGCTTGCTCAATAAGCTAGGTGAACAGATTGACTTGACAAAGCCAGACATAATCGCAGTCACAGAAACCTGGCTGACACAGTCTATAGATAATATGGAACTCGATTTTGAGGGTTTTACTTTAGTAAGGACCGACAGAACACATAAGCGTAAAGGAGGGGGAGTAGCTCTATTCATTAGGAATGCTATCCCGTTTGTCATTATTGATAGTGTATCCCATGATAGTGGGACGTGTGAATTGGTTAGTTGCCGCTTGAAATTCAAGGGGCAAGAGCTGCTAATTGGTTTGGACTATACCAAGGGAGCCGAGAAACTCCCCACCATGGTTCAATAGGGAGGTCCGCATCCTTCTCCGTAAGAGAAGAAAAACGTGGGATAGATTTAGGTTACTAGGACTGATGAGACAAAATCTCAGTATCGAAAGGCTAGGAATACCCGTGCCTCGACCCTCCGTAAGTCTAGAAAGCTGTACGAACAAAAAATTGTTAAGGAATCCATAGAATGTCCTATACGCCTGTATTCCTATATAAACCAAAGGACAAAAAGAAGAGGAATTATTCCTGCACTATGGGGAGACAGTACTGCCGCATCATTAGTGGAAGATGACTTTGGTAAGGCTCAAGTGTTCTCAAACTACCTTAGCAATGTATATACCATAGAAGCACCCTTCCCGTCAGCGCATACAAACTCCCCACACACATACACTGGATAGTGTGACTATTAAAGAACTTGATGTCTTTGGTCTGCTAAATAAGCTTGACATAAGTAAATCCATGGGGCCCGATGAATTGCACCATAGGCTACTAAAGGAATTATCTAACTTCATTGCGAACCCTTTAAGTATATGGTTTAAGCTATCCGTTACGCAGGGTCGTTTATCAAAAGACTGGAAGAACGTCATAGTAAGTCCTGTCTTCAAAACAGGTACGAAACATAAACCTGAGAATTACCGACCCGTTAGCTTAACTAGTGTGGTTGTTAAAATGTTAGAAAACATTATTCGGAAAGAGCTGTCTAAATACCTCGATGTAAACCGAATCCTCTCGGAGAAACAGCACGGTTTCAGAATACGTTATTCTTGTCTCACTAACTTATTAGTCACTCGAGAAATCTGGTGCGCTTTTAACGACCAGAGGTTACCTGTAGACGTGGCTTACATTGATTTCAGCAAAGCTTTTGACAAGGTTCCGCACAACCGGCTGTTATATAAGCTAAAAAATGTCGGAATTGGAGGCAATCTATTGACGTGGATAAAAGACTTCCTTGTTGGGCGCCAACAAAGAGTACGGGTAAACTCAAAATTATCTAGCTGGGAAACTGTGCTTAGTGGAGTACCCCAGGGTACAGTTTTGGGGCCAGTGATATTCCTCCTGTATGTAAATGACCTTCCTCGCTTACTATCATCATCGGTCTTACTATATGCTGACGATGTCAAGATATGGAGAACGATACGATGTAAGGGTGATAGCTTAGAACTCCAAAATGACCTGAAGAAATTATCCGAATGGTCTCATACATGGAAGCTGCCGATAAATACTTCCAAGTGTGTTGTGATGCATATCGGTCATCAAGGTTCAGATACATACACGATGAATAACACTGAGCTACCTGTTGTCCAGACGCATAATGACTTAGGAGTCATCGTTAGCCGAGATCTGAAGACCACTGCACACTGCCGTGCAATAGCCGCCGAAGATTTTAGAACTTTATGGTCAATACGTAGAGCTTTTACTCATGTCGACGCTCAAAGGTTTTTGATTTTGTATACAGTGTTCGTACGTCCTAAACTTGAGTACTGCATAAAAGCGGCTAACCCCTGCTTAAAAAAGACAGTGAGCTTTTGGAAAAGGTCCGGAGAACAGCAACTAAGCTGATTCCCGTAATAGCGAAGCTTCCGTATGATGCTCGACTGACCAAGCTAAACCTATTCCCTTTGTCATATCGTAGAACTAGAAGCGACTTGATTACAGTTTTCAAATTGCTTAGTGATAAATTTGCACCTGATATGTCCTCATTTTTCCTGTCTTCCAAAACAGAGAATTTACGAGGACACTCCAAAAATGTTCACAAGCCCAGAACAAATTACTTGTCATCTGATTATCGACTTTCCCACCGAATCATCAACGAGTGGAATTCATTACCTCAGCACGTGGTTGAAGCTCCATCCGTAGATTCTTTCAAAAGAAAGTTGGATCAACTGAGAGAACACAATTGCCAGGACTAACACAGGCCATCAAGCCTCCTGTCCTATCCAAACTGAAACTGAAACAATATAGTTGTGGCGAGAATGTACGAACAGACTGATTTCCATGCTCTAGCTTCTTGTCATCTCATTACGGTCCCAGGTATCCGGTAACATCCAATGGGATGTAAATTAAATACTTGAAAGAACTAGTTTTAGTCATTTTGGCATTAGTTACTTGTGGGTTTGTATATCATGTAATCTGAGTGTTTTCTCCATGTAAGTAGGAATTCTATATACTAGCAGCTGTCACATTTTCAGGCAGAAGGTCGGTCGGTTGGAGTGTGAGAAATAATGAGGAGGAACTTTGTAAACTAAGAGGAAACGGTTATTTCAAGATTCAAATAAAAAAGTCAATTAGTTGTTAATGTAAGCAGTGTGCGTAGACCGAAATAAAAAATTAAAATGGAAAGTGGTGATGATAAAAAGCAAGGCGGTAGTGAACTGACCACATGTGATAACGATAACAGGTATCAGATATTGCTGTTCCAAGGGGAAAATGGCAATCTTTTAGTGAGTGCGTGTTTATCAAGTCTCCTCTTGAAGCTATCCACTAGCGGGCTGTAGCTACTTCGGCTGGGAAAGCATTCTAAGCTCAGGTAACTCGTAATGATGAAGGTGGGAAACTTTTTGGGTTGTCACACTTTGGTGTGCAACTCTTCGGGGGATGCCTGGAGGAATGTAGTGATAGTATTCTGGTAAAATGTTTGCATTGGGATGATTTGGGTACTTAGTATACTATGTGCCATCATCGGACCCCATCTTATTTTTCTATAGCACAGCACGAAAAATTTCAAGCGCTGATGTCTGAACCGGGCTTCAACTTATAGGGGGCAGATAGTAAACCTGTCACCACATAACGTGGGTTTAAACAAAACCATTCACTAGATTTTCGTTGTTGCTGATGTTTTTATCGCAATTATTGGTATATGCCTACGACAACACCATAATCTACTCACATCCCAAAAGGCTGAGGTTGGCCGAGAACGAATTCAAATACATGGTAGACTTGAGAATTATTCGGCCATCTAACAGCCTATAAGCATCTCCCTTGCATAATGTGCTTGAAAAAGATAACTTTCCAAATCGCTCTTTTAAGAAAACTGTTCGAGTTGCAACA